TAAAAAAAAAGCACAGTGCATAAATGGGGCTTGGCAGTACCCTCAGGCATCTCTTGGGAGGTCTCAGTACCTATTCCCTAAGGATAAAGGACTTCCTACAAGCCCACTCTCTCCTCTATGACCCAGGATGAAACGCAGGCTTGGATCTTAATAACACAGCTTAGACACAAAGCCATTCTGAGATGCTCCATCCTGTCATGTGTCAACAGTGACTCGCACCAGGAGAGGCTACTCAGCAGCGATTTTCTTTGTGAAACAGACACATTTCTGTGCTCCACACGCATCAGAACCAGAGGGGCAGTGCATATGGCTCTTCGGGGCAGGGAGGGGACACGTACTACTCCATGATCAGGACGATGTCGTTCTTGGTCTCGAAGGCATCGTAGAGCTGAATGAGGTTCACGTGGTCCAGCTGGTTCATAACACTGATCTCATTTTTCACTTCCTCCTAAGAAGGACATGGTGTGTTAATGGGGTGGGGAAACTGGACAGGACAGGGAGACCTGGGAACCCCGCATCTTCACCTTGTCCTTTGCACCTCTGGTCTTAATGATTTTGGCAGCCAGCTTCAAGCCCGTTGCTTTCTCTTCACACTTGTGAACCTGCCCAAAACGTCCTCTGCCAAAGAATAGGAGAGCACAGCATGATGTACTGTTGTGAGCAGGGGCCGAGGAGAGTCCCTACCAAGTGGACAGTGGGCGGCCGGTCACCCTGGTGTTTCTCTTTGTGAATTTAAATGAGCAAAGCTAGGGGTGCCTCTGCTGTATCCAGTAAGCTCCTAGCAGACCTCTGGTCTAGGCATGGCTGTGATCACTTGTATCAGAAGGTCCTTGGAGGAGGAGGGTGTTAAGAATGTAGGTTTTGGGTCCGGGAAGATGGCTCAGTGGAATAAGCACTTCCCTGGCAAGCACAAGGGCCTGAGTTCAATCCCCAGTTCCGCCAAAAAAAAAACCCCAAAAGAATGTAGGTCTCCTGCTCAGATCACAGACCAGCAGAGGCAGGAATCCAGGGTGAAGCATTTTAGTCTGCTCCTTGGGCAAATCATTTAAACACTAAAATTTGAGAACCACTGTTATAGACAACACAGATGTTTTTCTGAATACAACTGAATGCAAAAGGCTAGGCTTTGGAAGCAAATGAATACCGCCTACAGGTCAGGTGTGTCAAAAATCTTTTTCAAAACTGCATATAAATAAAAAGGCAACAACAATATTGCACATAGATGCATATAATCAGCATACATATAGTTGCTGATGATGTTTTTCATAGTCGGCCTGGATGTCAACCTGTACGTGCTTCAAAAGACAGCTTCTACTACAGATATGGTTTGTATGTAGCCATATCCCCTGAAGGTTTACGTGTTAGAAGTGTGATCTTCAGGCTGGCCAGTAGGGATGGCGTGGAACCGTTAGGTTGTGGGACCTACCAGGAAGTAATTGAGTCCTTCGGGGCACTGTGCTGGGAAGTAGCTGATACTGATCTTGTGGGCTCCTGGTTTCCATGAGAGGGCAGCTATGAAAGAGCAATTCTGACCCTTCCATGTTGTTCCCTGGCTTCCTGTCATGCCACGTGACCCCTGTCCTCTACGCTTATTCCCACCACAATGCTGTCTGCCATGATGTGACAACGCTGGGGACTCCTCATCAGAGCTGAGACAATGCTGATGCAAGATCCAACATTTGAGAATTATTAACCATTTGCTTTCAAAGCCCAGCCTTTCGCATTCAGTTATAGTCAGAAAACTTTTGAGTTTTCTGTAACAGTAGTTCTCAGATTTTAGATCCTGAATGTTCTTGAATCTCCAGAACCATGAGCTAAATGAACCTCTTTCCTCAATTAACACGCAGCCTCAGGTAATTCATTAGACTAACAGAAATGGACTCAATTAGCTTTTTATCTCTGCAATAATATTCAGAAATGAACACTCCTGGACAATTTCAAAATTTGATTTGCCTGATCTTATTCTTTAATTAGTAAAGTAAGATAGACCATATATCCTTGTTCTGTGCCATGGTGGCTGCTCTGGGAGGGAGTAGGAGAGCCTCCCAAGCACAAACAATGCAAAAAGACTGTACCCCTGGCACCTGTGGAGTGACAACAACACCTGACAGACAGGTGCAGTGGTGACCACTGCATTCCCAGTGTGGCTACCCACCCACCCGAGAAGCAGGGGTCTGTTGAAAAAGATGCTAGATTACTGGAGCCATGGTCAAGTGGTGGCTTCAATTCAAACCACCACTCCAAAAGGAATCACTATTGGAGAACACAAACACAGCCCAAGGCACCTTCTATGTGGCCACTGATGAAGAAAACACTATTCCTCATCATAAGCAACGGCCTCAGAGCTTCCTGGCCTACCACAGGGGCCATCATGGTTAGATTCCAGGGCTAGCTCCACTTGTCTGGGTCTCTCATGTGATTTATTCAGCAGAGACCTTGGACTTTGAGGTCCTCTCATAGGATTCATATTCGGCCACCAGACTGGCCTGATGCTCACCAGACACATTGATGGGGGTTATGGTGGTCAGCTTCATACTGCTAGAACAAGACACCTCAGATAAACAACTTTAAGGATGAAAGACTTATTTTGGGTCATGATTTTAGAGGTTTGAGTCCATGGTCACCTGGTCTGAGCCTGAAGTAAGGCAGAACGTCATGGTGCATGGCAGAGGACGCTTCTCACTTCATGGTACCAGGAAGCAAAGAGAAGGACATGAGGGACAAAGGTTCCAATCCTCCCTTCAAAGACATGTCCCAGTGATGTCACTTCCCTGAAGGACACACCCCCGGTGACCTCACTTCCTCCTACAAGGCCTCACCTCTGAAAGGTTACACCACCTGCCCACAGCACCACTGGGATGGACACTGAGACCTTAACATGGTCCTTGGGGACACACTGTAAATCCAAACTAGAGTAGGCAAAGCCTGAGGCCCACGCGGTGGGAGATGAGCCCAGGAGAGGCTCTTTGAATCCAGAGGTCCTTGGCCTGCTGCCATATCTCTGCCAGAAGTACGTGAAGCTGCTATGTCTGAGTCCCCTGTCAAGAGGAAGAGGCTCAGTCCTGACGGCCCTTCACACTTGTGAACCTGCCCAAAACGTCCTCTGCCAAAGAAAAGGAGAGCACAGCATGATGTACCCTGCGGGCAACAGCATGCATCAGGGCTGCTCTTCTACCTCACAGTGAGCCAGCTCGGGCTGCCAGTGCTGAGTGGTGCCCAGTGCCCTCCCACACCGGCCTGTACCCCAGCACCACTGAGCAGAACCTGTGCTCCCCAAAGATGCAGAAAGGAGCTGCAAAGGAGCCATTGAAAAACCTTGGCCAGACAAACAGTCTAAACCCTGGGAAGTATTTCAAAGTTGCTACTGCAAATAACTATTCTCCTTCGGAGAAATAGTTGCTGGCTTGCCACTGAAGTCCCCGAAGGCCCAAAGATTTCAGACGTCGGGGGCACCAGCTAATGTTTTGAGTTTGCAGTTGTCCCTCGGCCCATCCCCACAGTCCCAGGGGGAGCTCCCTGCAACCAACTGGCTGAGAAACCAAAGTTCAGGTGGTTCCACATGGCAGAGCCAAAGGGACATGCGCTGGGAAGAGGAAGAAGGGATTTTATAAAAATCGATTGACTACACCCTAGTGACCAATCTCAGAAATGCCTGCTGTCACAATTGTGCATATTTCCCACGTGTTAGTAAGTAAAATGTGTGTGTGTGTGTGTGTGTGTGTGAAAACTTTCTACCTCCTCCTTCCTAACCTACACAGATGTGCTGAGGGTAGGAAAGCAGGCTTTGAACCACAAGACCTCATAGAGGGACTGTGATTGATTTAGAAGAGGAAAGGCCATCCCCAAGTGTAAATGTGCTTCCTTGGTAAACTCTAATCTTCCTTCTTTAGGGAGAGAAGTGTACATTTAGATGTCAACCAAGTAAAGTCTTCTTTGAGGAAATCCACTAGGTGAATGGATTATAATTATATAGGAATTAATAGAGTATACAGTAACAGCAGAAGTCGGAAACCAGGGACAATGACACAAAGCTTTAACACATGCCACAGGAAAGACATAGCGCTGACTCATTTCTACGTTTTGTCTCCTGGGGTTTAAGCTATGGCTCTGGACACTTCTGAACCTCCTGGTGAGTCACACAGGGTTTTTCTTTCTTTCAGACATTACAACACGGGAAGTGAAGCAGGTATAAGATGGAGCTTAGTCACCGCGCCAACGTGCCTGGCATCAGTGACAGTTTTCAAGAAAGCCTCCCATCTCTTAAAACATTTGCTAATCATGCTTCTAAGTGCTCAGAGTGCGACCGGAGACACGCGCGAGGTCTCAGGCCGTCTCCGGACGGCCTCTGCTCTCACCGAGGGAGTGCTCTGTGGAGCAGGACTCACCCTCCTAAGATCTCTGTTTTGCTCACGGTGTAGAAGCTATTCGCTGCTGCTTGTTTGGCTGTCACAATCCGATGATCAAATGGGGCAGCAGGAGCCGGGACATCATCTAAACGATTAGAGGGAAAGAAGGGCTCTGTCAAGCAGTCCGACCTCTTTCTAGCACTGCCCATTTGCCTTCAGAAAAGATTCCCTTCTTTAGTAATAAAACACAGTGTGTCACCTGTGTCATCCCCAAGAGTCAGGAATATAAATGTTCATTGCATATTGTGACCTGTGATTCATAGAGGTAACATCTGACACCTTTGTGAAAGACTGTCAGGACAGCTCACCTGTCACCCATACCCTCTTCAGGACCACATTTAGAAATGTCAAGAGAGCCAAACATCTCTGACCCCGCCACAGCTCAGACAGGTCACCCTTCCAGGGGCAGGGGCATAGCTCAGGCGAAGAGCATGCACGTGGTTCTGCATCTAACCCCCAGCATGACACACACAAGTAGATTCCCAAGCCCAAGGCTACTTTAAATCAAACATGAGAAAGTCTTTGATCCACTTTTTAAAAAAAATACCTGAATGTAATAGTCCATTCTTTTAATTAATGTGGAGAGAAAAAAGAAAAATGAAGCATTTCTTCATGCCATTGATAGTATATATTACTTGCCAAAATGTTGTAGCCTTTATTTAGGACACTTTTAAGGCACAAAGATGACATTTCCCTGGATGACTAGAAGTAGAACACCCAATAAAACTAGGTAAATGTGTATTTCACAGCTATCAAATTTCTTCCACTTTCCACCTCCCACCCGATACGTCTAAACGCTAGCCCACCTCGACAGCCCTAACACGCGTAATTACCAGCCTTCCTTTCACTTTCCCACGACTACTCCCGTTAACATTTGCTGGCCGGCAGCCCATTTACTCACTAAGCAGCTACTGCGTGTGCACAGCAGAGATGCAAAAGGGGAGGAGAGAGCAGCCCTGTTCTCACGGCGTGACATCTGTCCAGCTTGCATCTCTTGAGTACTCATCTTGGCCTAGGTGCTCTACCAAATTTACTTTAATGTCAAGTTTAATTTTAATATTTTAATCTTCAATTTTAATTTAGCATCTTTATATTCAGGTACCACAAACCTCTAGGAATCTGATTCAGTACAGCCATTCACGTTCAGGCCAAAAGCATACTGAAAAATGAAGTCCTGAGAGGATTCTCTCGCTGCCACCCATTTCTTCCAGTTTAATTTCTTGAGTGTGCTCGGTTGAACACACACATGCTGTCACTATGGCATCAGGCCTCCCTCAGGCTGTTAGACTGGGAGAAACTTAGTTGGGTGGATCATTGGACAAGGCTAAGAAGCACTCAACGGCCAAACCCAAGGCCACTTCTTACCCAGTGGAGCCACCAGATCTTGCATTCCGGGGATCTCTGCTCCAGTGGACTCTTGGGGTCCAGCCTGGGCCCGCGCCTGGCCTTGCCTGGCTTCTGGAGTCTCTGTCAGTGCGCCCTCCACGCCCAGGCCCGCTACATCTGTCCTGCTCTTCTTGGTGTGCTCGTCCACGCAGGGCTCTTCTGCCACTCTCCGCTTACTGCTGCCCGCCGACTCTGTCTGCTCAGCGTTCTGGAATGAGGACCCTGATGCAGAATTTCTCCGGATTCCTGGTGTAGAAAGAGCCTTTATGCTGCCAATACACCTGGAAAATAAAATCCAGTTGCAGGTCTCAAGTTTGAAGGAGAAAATATGAAAATTCTTAGGCTGGAACTTTGTTGCAGCAGCCTTCTGCTGTAGAGAGCTGGAGTTCTGGGACAGAGAGACACCATTTCAGTTTTGGAGACAAAATGAGAGTGGGCTTTCCCCATGTCAGCCTAAGGATAGAGACCCAGAGGTGGCCCCGCGTCACCCCACCAACGGCACAGTGGTCACTAAGAAAATCTAACTCGATCTTCATTTCTTTCTGCTTTGTCTTCTTACAAAACATGGACTAACTGAATGGCAGCCTCACAAAAGAAGCAATAAGTGCTCTGAAATTTAGCAGCTATGAGAGAAGCTTTATTGGTGGAAGAACTGACCTAATTGCCAGCTTGGGGCTGCTCCTGAGCATACTCAGTGCATCTTTATACTGAGTGCTCTGATAATCAATGCTTGTATGTAATTTACAGAAAATTAGACTTATCCAAGGTTAGGTTTCAATGTATTTTTACTTAAGAAGTAGTCTTACATTTCTACCAAAGAACACACAAGTGATTGATATACTTTGTTCCAATAAAATTTTTTTGTTCATCAAAACTAAAAGTAATTCATTTTAGTTGGCTATAAATTTTCTTGACTTTATGTGTGAAACTTTGTAGTTGAGGAAGAAAGTCTTTCAATAGCCCATTTACAACCCTGAGGACTAGGTGAAATAGTTAATTTATCATGCATAATGAACTTAAGTAAGATTTTTCAGAAATAGATTTTTAACTTATAATTAAATCTCATCATTATTCACTTCTTTACTCCTGGGAGAACATGAGCTATACTGCTACACAAAAAGAACAAAAAAAATTATGTGATCTTTAAAAAACACGGATTCACTAGAAAATTAATAATCATCACCTTTATCAACCGGTTGGTAGAAAACAAGATGGGACTCGGGGTGTGGCTCAAGGGTGGCCCTGTGCTTACCACGAGCTAGGCCCACGGTTTGCTCACCAGCCCCAAAGAAAAGGAGGAACAGAAAAGAAAACAATAAAAGGACTGAAGACATCTCAGGCAAGAGTAAACAATAATGGCATGAAAGTATGGCCATAAGAAAGAAATCCCCATGAACAGAAGAGCTGCACGCTGAACCCCTCCCTTGACACGCTCTGCATTCATCCCTGGCTACAACCTAGAGTGGTAAGGGTGTAAAGAGGCACAAGCACAGGTGCCGTGCAGCGGGAGCCTACCTGTCCTGGGGCTGACCAGCGCCGCTTTCATCCGCGCGCTGCTCCTCCCCTGCACGCTGGTCCAGCGCTGTCCTGCTTGTGTTTGTTGCTTCTCCTTCCTCAGTTTCCCTGCCCGTACTGCTTTCCGTGGGATGGAGCCCATTTTTTCCTTCTTCAGACCGCAGACATTCATTTTTGTCCACAGCAGCTTGCCTGTCAATGCCAGCACGATTGCTCTCTTGTCCCTTTGGGCTCTGTGTGCACGAAATGTCTTCTCCAGCTGTCTTCTCACTTGGTGCTATGGAATTTCTTGCAGCAAAGCCTTCCTCTTCGCCTCCTCTCTCTGGAGGGCAGATGGCAAAGCTGTATTGAGCTACAGAGGCACTGGTCTTCTCGGCATTTTTCTTGTTGAGTTTAGCTACCTTTTCTTTCTCAGACAAGAGGTGGTTCTTCCTGGTAGATCCCTCTGGAAGCCATCATAGGACACAAAATATATTAATGGGGAAGGCACGTGATCTGTACAATTTTGACTTCATAAAGTGGAATCTCTATTCTGGTTTCTTTTTAGAGCACATAAGAGCTTTTAAAAGCGAAACACAAAAATGCAACCAATTGATGGGCAACTGGCTTTTGAGTAGTTTTCTTATTTGTACCTAGTAGAACCAAAAGCCAATCAGATAAAAGTGTTCACGAAACAGCATTTCTCGCTGTACTGGCTTCATGTAATTTCCTCTGAATAACAACAGAATTCTGATAACAGAACTCTCTTTAACCTTAATTATCTCATATTCCAAGGATATTACCTGTGACAACTGATGTCCTTTCATCTGTGATAGATGTCCTTTCCTTCAGGCCAGGGTTTAACCATGCCTGCTCTTTAGCCTGTGGACACACAAGTAATGGGGGTTACCTGTGACACCTATGTTTCTCTGTTGTGAAGAATCTCATCAGCACTATAGGGTATGTAGTACCCCCGGCCTCCAGCTATCAGACACCAGGAGCACCCTCACTCTCAGCTGTGATAACCAAAAACATAGCTCCAAATATTTGAAATGTGTTCTTTTAATGAGCTGGAGATATAGCTGAGCAGCAGAAGTGCCTGCCTGGCAAGCACAAGGTCCTGAGTTCAATTCTTAGTATATAAAAAATACATTATTGATTACATTCACCTTTTAGAGCGATCAATCTCAAAACCCATTTGTCCTGTCTGAATCTTTGCCAATCAAATGTAGTAGTAATAAAACAAAATGATTCCAGAGATTGCTAAATATCCCCTGAGGGATATTTATAATATATATACCTGTAGTATTAGACATGGAAAAATTCCACAAAATTTATAGTAATATAGGAGGTTTTCAATCTAGATTAATCCTGTGTAGACTGCAGTATCTGAAAGCAAATAAACTTACTGTATGCAAAGAAATCCTGTACTACTCTGTCATGGTTTGTAGAAGGTGGCCCATTTTCATGAAGAGATTAAAGCATACTGATGATATATCTCTCGCCCTTGACTTAACGTTTATCATCTTGATATAGTTCATAAAAGTAAGAGAACATAAGGGCCAGCCAAATAGCTCAGCGGATTAAAGCGCCTGCAAGCTGGCACAGGGGCACAGGGGCCGAGGAAGGTTCGATCCCCAGGTCTGCCATGGCAGCCCCGCCCCCAGGGATATATGTGAATGAACTCTGTAAACTAGAAGGAAGGAGGCAAAAGGTAGGAGGTTTTCATTGTTTCCCCCTAAGTGGATAAACATTCTCAAAATCCTGGATTCCATGTACTCGTCTTGTAAAGTCTTTAAAATACTATATAAAAGGTAAACAGTAGCCAAAGTTGCCCAAATTTTCACAAATTCTAAAGTTATATCTTATAAACTAATGGAATTGTATAGCTATACAAAGGATCAGTCTTTTTCTTTCAATGTGAAATAGCACGCTTCGCTGCAAGTGTGAAACCACCTACAGCTACAGAGTTTAGACGTCAAGACAGATCATCACTCTGCACTTACAATTTGGAGGGCAAATCCCATGGACCCAAAATAGCTCCATGCTTAAGATGAGGGCCTTCAAGGGAGAGGCAGCTTCTGTAGACCTATAGAACGCCAGGCTTCGGAGCTACAGGGGGATCGTTTCAAAGTCTAAGGGCAAAGATGGGAGGAGAAAGAGCCTTCAGCTCCTTCGCAAAGCTGGCTGCTCATCCTCCTCTAGTCTTGCACAAAGCTTGGCATTTGCCCAGCCCTGGACGATCTTCGGCAGCACTTTCTTGGCCTTTTTTCTTGTCAATTTCCCACCAGACTGTGGGCTTCTAATGTGCAAAAAGAATAGTCTATCTTTGACTCCTGATACTCAGGCCAGAGATCAGCAACAGTGACGTGGATAATGAGGGTGACAGTAGTGTGACATTAATGATGGTGGTGACATCAATGATAAAGCTAGAATGTACTGAATGTGGACTGCAAGCCACGTATCCGCCTGTGAACTCCACCTTATCAACTTGGTTGTCCTCAGAGCAACCCGTGGCAAAGACTATCAGTCCCACTTTGCAAATGAAGCCAGGATTCTAACTCCGTGCTACTTTCAGGCAGTGCTCCTAGGGAGTGCATACACACCAGGGATAGCAGACCTTTCAGAGGCCGCGTGCCCAGACTGCAGCTCCAACCCACTGATTTGTCACAAAGTGCCAACACTGCAATCAAACCTCAATACTGAGGTTTTGGTTCAGAAAAACAATAGCTGTGATGCTCGGTGGCCGAGGTGACCGGGTTCGCATGATGACAGAGGGCTCCACATGGCCCCCGGGGCACGCGTGTTCACCACCATGGTGCTAACAATTGTGAGCAGGCTATATTTGCATTTAGTGAGCTACACTTTAATATTTATCTTTAACTATCTGCTACATAGTTGGCATCACAAGAGATAAGGAAGATTAAGAAAGACCAAAACTGAAAACACATTAGAGGAGTAAGAGATTAGAATTAAGTGAGACGATGGTCAGTTTTGGAAAGGCGTATCCAAACGAGCCAAATAAGATCATTTTACAAACTGTGTTTACATTTTACATTTGTCTTTCTGTGCCTCTGTTTTGAAGTGGAATCTCCTGGTGTATCAGTAAGCACTACACTTCTAGATTTATGCTGCACGGCATAAGCACAGCAGCAAAAGCAAGGATGGCCTCAGCACTGAAGATGGGTATATAGCAATCAATTTCAGCCCATCCATGTATGTACAGTGACGGATCTGGGCGGGCCCCCACCCCATCTGAGTGTCCAGGATAAAGGTCCACCTCCAACGCCCACACCCAGCCGGTAGGAGCAGCTGTTGGTGCTGAGACCTAGAGGAAGCCTGCCTCCCAGTGAGGCTGTGTCTTCCTGAGGCAGCTGTGCGTCCCATCTGCTTTCCCATTTGAACCGCGTAAGATGGCGCCCACAGCCACCGGCTGCTGCGTCTTCATCTCCCTGTGTAACACTGACATCGACAGGAACTCTGGGCTGCGCTGTCCTTGACGAGCAGAAATTGGACTCTTCTGTCTCGAGAGGGCAATCAGCTTAAATTTCAGCATGAAACCTTTTTATTTTGCATTCTTAAGTTCTGGATACAAGTTCCTAAAATAAGAAACACAGGTTTGTATGTGTATCTTGTTTGTTGTCCAAGAATAAAATTTGCTTCCTGCCCACCGAAGAGGGCAGGCCTGGTGCTCTTAAGGGTGAAGTTCCGAAACCACCGTGTTCAACATCCCGCTAAAGGAAAGAGAAGCCCGTGAGGGACCGTGCTACTCGGCTGCAGTCACACTGGCCGAGCAAATCAAAAGACCTTGTTTCATCCAAATTCACTTGCTTAGGAAATACATTCTTGCATGTGAATACCTTTCTCACTATTTGCCAATTCATTTTATGATAATTTACCAGTGAAATCTGGAGGAAACAGGGAAGAAAGGGGACGTGGCCCTGATGCCCAAATACTCACAACACACTTGTGTCTGTCCTGTTTGCCGATGGGTCTCCCAAGAGGGGAGCGTGTGCCCCAGGATCACTCATGGCAGCCCCAAGGAATGTGAAGGAAATGCTCCAGCGCCTTCCTATTTATTTCATTTCATAGGAGCTCAGTGTTTGTGACCCCAGACACTCATCCGAGGAAAGCCTAACCCCAGAGTGGTCTAGTAAGAGGCGGTGAGCAGGCCGCAAGGTCAGCCAGTACGCCTGGGGAGGGCCCCGCGGGAAACACCACCAGAGCCTGCGCCCTCCGCTCGCCGCCAGTTGAAACACCAGGAAACGGGCTCTGTCCATATCTGCTCCCTAGGCGGGGGCTTCCCTCCTCTAGGACTGTGGGAAGTAAGTGTGTACTGCTTGAGTCAACCAACTGTGATAACACACTACTGCAGCCTGAAGTGAGTCACTAATATACGTAGATACAGATCTACCAAACGCATGTGTTATATGCTTAAAACTCCAGGCCAGAGCCTCTGACTCGTGGCCAGGGCAGCTTCACCGGAGCCCTGCAAGCCCGGGAAGGGGAGGGCAGAATGAGAAGACCGCGTGATGCTGGGGCCGGAGGGTTCATTCTGGTGACTAAGGTGCGGATTCCACCACAGGTATAACCATGCAAAGGGAAGGATCCAGGAAAGAACTGCAAGGCAAGGAGTGAAAAATAAGATTTTGTAGGAAAGCCCCCAGCTTGATCCTGAAAGAAAACAAAGCAACAGCAGCAAGGGGGTAACCTGAGTGCAGAGATCCAGCACAGACCCCCTTGAAGCCCGTGAGAACGAGGCTGCGATCAGCTGTGGGGGCATCGTCTACCTGCGATCCGAAAGCCCTCAACTGAGTAGATAAAATATGTGAACTGCATAAAGAAATAATACACAGGAATGAAGTGGAACATGTATACAATTACTGGGCTTGCATGATAAATTAAATGTGCCTTATAAAAATAAATATATATGTACTGGTTATCAATGTGCATAATTTATAGATAAACATTTTACAGTGTGCCTAGAAGTCTCTCACTAACCCTAGTCCCACATCAACATCACCTGGAGACCATTCCTCTATGTAAAAGCATTTCTCCCCTTCTGCTTGGCTGAAAATGTGTTCCAGACTAGAGCCATTCTAGGGAGCAGGTCTGAGGGCAAGGACATCATTCGAACCACCACCCAGCGCCTGCACATTCGCAGCACTGCTTCAGGGGGCCAGGACTCGCCTTTCCAGGGTCTGTTTTCACGACTTGCCCAGCCCTAGGCGCCCAGGAGCTCGCTGGTCACGTCTCTGTGCAAAGTTCTACTTGTGGCCTGAGAATCCCTCCCTGAACAGCAGGGCAGGTCGCCTGCCTGCAGCCGCACACCTGGCTGCCGAGACATCCATTTCCTCTCACTCTGTGCTACATTAAGCTTCGACTTTTTCCTGACAGCAGGGGAATAGCCAAAGAGAACTGATTCAGAACTGAATGACTCTGCCTTCTCTGTCTTGGAGTCCCTTTCTATGTAAAAACTGGATTTTAAAAAGTCAGACTGTGTCAGGGAACCAGCCACCCTACTGCTCATTCCAAAGGCTTCCCCGCCGCCAATGCTCAATCCTTCACTGCTGTAACATCAAGTGACACCCACCGTCCTCCATGGCCAGGTTACAGTTGCTACAGCATAACTGTGCTCACACCATCGCACCTGGGACACGACTGCCTGGGGTGCTGACTTTGCGTATTGCTGAGATGAACATGGAGGGCCATTTCTACCTAATCCTTGCCACCATAAAAGTGAAGTCACAGCAATGGCTCTGTTAACCTTTGACTCAGTTCCTAGGGTGGAAAAAGAAAAGGAAATCTAACAGAATACAAAGAAGTGGAATTTTCAGAAGAAACAGTAAGACAATGTTTCCTTACCTAGCATAAAAGATCAT